GTGGTTACAGCCCCGCCCCACTCTGTCCTGTGTACTCGCTCTTGAGCGATTGCTCGAAATCAACTCTGACCTCATCGTTTCTTGCACCCTTAAAACCTTCCGGTGATGCCACAGGTCACGTAAAGCATTTTCCCGGTTTTTCTGAGTGTGCAAGTATTGCACACTCGCCTGTGGTATTTGTGTTCCTTTTACTGTCTTTGAAGAAACAATAAGGCCGTAAGGGCAAGAACTAGTTTGTGTTTTATATGCCAATTGCGCGGCATTTGTGTATTTCTTTTAAGTTTATTTAATTTGGGAGAGACAGAGACCCCCTGAGTGGAGGAGGGGCAGAGAGAGAGAATCCCAGGCAGACTCCACACTGTCAGCACATAGCCGCCGCGGGACCCGAACTTGGAGCCGTGAGGTCACGACCGGAGCCGAAATCCAGTGTCTTACTCTTAACTAACGGAGCCACGGAGGCGCCCTTCTGTCTCTATTTTTGGAGGGTTAGTTTTCGAAGCCACCTGCACGTGTAAGACGTGTTTTCAGGCCGACGGTACCTGCCGCCTGTGCGGCGTCACAGAGTCCCGGAGCCGAGTGAGACCGCAGCCCGAGGGCCGCGGCCAGAGTCGAGGGCGCCTCCGTAGCTCGGCCCTCCGGGGTCGCCCAGGACCCGCCTGGCTCCGTGGGCCTTCTGCGGCCCCTCCGCCGCCCTTGTCCCCCTCGAGTACCGTGCCCCCCGCCCCCGCACGCACGCGCACTTCCACGAAGTCTTCAGCCCCCGGCAGTAGGGAACCGAGCACGCCACGTTCCCCGAGCCCCACAGCGCGCCGGCCACAAGGCTTCGCGTGCGCCCTGCGTCCTCGGCCCTGGCTGCCTGAGCGGGTCACCACCTCCGAGGAGCCCGCCCTCCCAGAGCTCCTGTGTGGGTCACGTCGGCCTCGGTGGTAGAGCTCGGCTCCTGTGTTAAAGTTCCCTTTCAGGCATCTGGCCCGGTCAAGACCAACCTTCTTGCTCGGCGGGAGAAACGGTTTTTAGAACATCGCCGTGAGATGTGGCATGCCGGGTGCCCGGTGTGCGGGAGGCGGTCTGCCTCCTCTCTTGTCCGCAGGCGTTCACTGAACCCGGGGGTAGCAGGGACGGGCCTTGAGCGAGGGACACAGGAGTGCGGCCGCTGTGAGTCGCCCGGGATGGAGACGGACCGTGCTTGGGACAGGATCCGTGGGGACACCGTCATCGGGCTCTCTGTGGCCACGGTCCCTTCTCTTGTTGTTTTTTAGTATGTATTTTGAGAGAGTGCGTGGGGGAGGGGCACAGAGAGAGTCCCAAGCAGGCTCCGTACTGTCAGCTCGGTGCCCGACTCAGAGCTCGATACCGCGAACCGTGAGATAGATCATGACCTGAGCCAACGTCAAAAGTCCGATGCTCAACCCCCTGAGCGCCCCCTCCCCGGGTGCCCCGGCCTCGTTCCTTCCTAGGAAGGGAGGGGAATCGCCTGATTTCCTCTCGGGAAGTAATCTCTTTCCCAGTGTGGACAGTCCCCGTAGGCTTTCCGTCGGGAGAGGGGCGTGTGACCCTTGAGGGGCCACTTGAGGGTGAGGCTCCAGCAGTGGGCCCCCCCACCACATGGTCAGCTGACAGGGGAGGGGTTCGTGTTTCGTGTTTTATTTAAGGAAACCGCTTACGGCGTCCACGTGGCAGCTTTATCATCCACGTGGAAGCGCCAGAAGCCAGTGCCATATTTGCCATAACTGTGTACTTCGTGCCGGAAGCCTCACGTCTCCTAGGTCGCTCCTTGCTGCGAGAGGGAAAAAAAAAATTGCTTCGTTTAGACGAACCGAATCCCCTTTGTTCTGTCGGGTGGTTGTTTCAAGGGAGAACCGGTTTCTTAGCTGAGCCTTACGTGATTTCAGGAATTCCGAGAAATCTCTTATCTCAAAAAACTGAAGATCAAAAAACAGGACCGAATATTTCCACCCGAGACCGGAGCCCCGGCGCCGGCACCCCCACCCTCCGCGGCCTCGGCGCCCACTGGCGTGAACAGCTCCGCCCCATCAGGTACAGCCGGGGCGGCCTCGGGGAGGGTCCCCGGGTCCCCTGGGTGCTGTGCCGGCCTGCTCTCCTCTGCACAAGGGGGATGCTCGGGAGGGGCGCCCTAGGAAGGGCCGGGCCAGCACCGCCTTGCACAACCACCCCAACCCTGTCTTCTGGGGCTTCCCGTTCTGGGGTCCGTGCCGGACACCCGAAGCGTGGGAGGGTTACTTCCCTCGGTGTCGCGAGGGCAGAGCTTTGAGTGACCGTCCTTGACGGGGCTGCTTCGTCCCATGGGGTTAATGAGTGTCGTGTAAGAAGCTGCGGTTTCAGGTGTGAGGTGGGAAAAGCAGAAAAGTAGTTGGGGGCCCACGTGGTCCCACCGCCAGCCTCCTGGGCCCTTGTCCCTGCACAGCCTCGCCGGTCTGCCCGGGGGTGGTGGGGGGGGGGGGGCAGTGTCCTGTGGCTGCCCCCCTTGCCTTGTGTTCTGTCCTCCGCTTCCCTGCCGGCCCTGGGACTCTGCCCTTGGGGGATGCTGACCAGAGGGGAGCCCGGGCTGTCCGGTCCCCCCCCCCCGGGACCTTGCCGCCTGACGACAACATCCCTTCCAGATAAGCCGCTGTCCAACATGAAGATCTTGACTCTGGGGAAGCTGTCCCGGAACAAGGATGAGATGAAGGCCATGATCGAGAAACTCGGGGGAAAGCTGACGGGCACAGCCAGCAAGGCATCCCTGTGCATCAGCACCAAAAGTGAGTTCGATTCTGATGTGGGATGGGTGTGCATGCACCCCCTGAGGCTTTGGGAACGGTGGTGAGGTGGCGCGGGGAGCAGGGAGGAGTGAGGTGCGGGGCCGCATGGGGCACCCCGAGTTGGCTCTGTTTGCTCAGCACTGTTGTCGAGGTGCTTTGTGGAGGGAAGCCAGCGTGGTACTTGGCGAAGCTGGCGTGGGGTCGTGTGCATGTTTGCGGGCCTTCTGTCCCGGCCGTGGGCTGCCGGCTGCTCTTTGCCGGCCTGGGACCCTCCCCTGGGGGACTCTGATGGCCTCGGTGCAGCCCCAGCTGCTGTCAGCTCCTAGTAACGACCGCTCAGATAGGCTCGGATTCGAGAGCGAGGCTGGGACGGCGCTGAACGACGGGGGCTGCCCCTCGAGAGTAGGAGAGGTTCTTGTCCGTCCACCGGCTGGAAGCCTGGGGAGGTGAGGGGAAGAAACGGGGTGTTCTGAGTGAAAGAACGAGGTAAAGCCTCGGAAGTCTCGACGAAAGGGAGGTGAGCAATTCGCCTGGTCAGCGGTTCAAGATTAGGGTCTAAGGTGCTTGCTGAACTTAGAAGAGTGGGTGAAGCAGGGATAACGCTCGAAAGTACTGAACGGAAGTCACCGAACTGCAGGAGGCCGTATCTGAACAGAAAGGTAGCTCGCGGGCTCGACGTCTGAGTCCGTGAAGCAGACAGGACCGTGGAGCTCAGAGCGGCGGAAAGAAAGGAAAACCAGGAAAGATGGCGTGAGGGACGGCAGAGTGGCATCAGAGGGACTCAGTGCGCATTAGAGGCTCCCAGAAGGAGACCGAGAGAAAGGGACAAAGATCTTTTTGTGAGTAGGCTTCTTGCCCAGCGCGGAGCCCAGTGTGGGGCTTGGATTCGAGAGCTGGACGTGTAACTGGCTAATTCGCCCAGATGCCCCGAAAGAGGGGGAAATCTTTCTCGAAGGAATAACGGCTGAAAACTTCTCCGATCAGGGGAAGGAAACCGACATCCAGACCAGAGGGTCCAGAGACGAACCCAGAGAGACCCACGCCGAGACTCATTCTAGTTAACGTGGCAGAAGTTAAAGACAGGATGCTAGAAGCTTCCAGAGAGAGCATTTTGTGTGCAGGGGAGCCCCGTGGGATCCTCAGCTCCTACCCAGGGCAGTACAGACGCACGGGTTCCCTGTCAAAACCCGAGGGGTGTTTTTCACAGAAATGGAGCAGACGGTCCTAAAATTTGTGTAGAACCACCAAGGACCCCAGAGAGCCAGAGCAGTCTTGAGAGAAGGACGAAACTGGAGGCATCGCGCTCCTCGCTTTCACACTGTCCCGCGTGGTACGGAGCTGGAGGAAGCAAAACCACGCAAGGCCGGCCTGAAACCTCACAGAGGTCGGTCAGCCGAGCAGACCGGGGAGCCCAGCGGTAAACCTGGCGTAAAGGGTCGATTCACCTACAGCAGAGGAGCCGAGACGACCCAGCGGGAAAGCTGGATCCCTAGCTCGCCCCACTCACAAAAATCTCCGAGTGGATTACAGATCCGGCTTCCCTCACCTCCATCTTGTTCGACTGCCCGTCTTCTCCACTTCTCTGTTCAAGCCGGGAGAAACGGCCGAGGCGTTAGCGGGATGCAGACGGCAGCGCGTGTTTACGGTGTCGTGAGGCCCGAGGCCATAAAAGTCTTCGAAGAAAACCCAGGCGGTTAGCTCGGGTCTTGCTTGACTCGGCCTTGGCGACGGTTCTCTCCCACCTGACACCAAACGCAGAAACGAACCAGCGGGACTAGTGGAACTAAAAAGCCCCTGTGCGTACGGGAAACCGGGACGGAATACGGGGGCCCCCGCAGAACAGGGGAAGTGACCCGAGTCCCGCGTGTGGCCCGGTGCGTGGCGGTGCGCTGGGTGATGTGCTGGGGGAGGGCGGCCCGGCAGAGGCGGGCTCGGGGTTCCTCGCCCGGTTGTGGTGCTGCCGACCGCGCAGCAGGCGGCCCCGGCCACGGCCCCGAGCGCTAGGCGACGAGGACGGGGCCGCGGTGCCCGTGTCGGAGGCTCGGGCTCCGTCAACCATGGCGTCGTGCGTGTCCCCGCTGACGCCTCGGCTGTCTCTCCCCCGACTTGAACAGAGGAGGTGGAGAAGATGAGCAAGAAGATGGAGGAGGTGAGGGAAGCCGGCGTCCGCGTGGTGTCTGAGGACTTCCTCCAGGACGCGTCCGCCTCCACCAGCAGCCTGCAGGATTTGCTCTCGGCCCACGTCCTGGCCCCCTGGGGGGCCGACGTGAAGGCGGAGCCCATGGAGGCCACGGCCCCCAAAGGGAAGTCGGGGGCCGCACTGCCCAAGAAGAGCAAGGGCCCCGCCAAGGAGGAAGGTGAGGCTTCCCGGGCCCCTGGGTGCCCTCGCCCCCTTCCCCGCCCCCATGGCCCCCGTCTCCTTCCCG